GTGTCTCCAAGTGTTAGCTCTGTGTACCATGTGCCTCCAAGTGTTAGACTGTGTCTCCAAAGTGTTAGCTCTGTGTGTACCCGTGTCTCCAAGTGTTAGCTCTGTGTACCCTGTGTCTCCAAATGTTAGCTCTGTGTACCCTGTGTCTCCAAGTGTTAGCCCTGTGTCTCCTGTACCCCAAAGTGTTAGCCCTGTATCTTCAAGTGCACCCCTGTGTACACTGTGTCTCCAAGTGTTAGCTCTGTGTACCCTGTGTCTCCAAGTGCGCCCGTGTGACTTCTGTCTCTAATTAAGCCCTGTATCTTCATATGCCATGTCCCTCTGAGTGCACCCTGTGTCTCAAGTGCGCCCCTGTCTTCAAGTGCGCCCCTGTGTCTCCAAGTGTGCCCGTGTGCCTTCTGTCTCTAACCGAGCCTTGTATCCTCAAGTGCCATGTGCCTCTAAGTGCGCCCTTATGTCACGTTTTCTCCAAGTGTGCCTCTTGTCTCTAAATGCACCCTTGTACATCCCATGCCTCTAAGTGTGCCTCAATGACTCCTGTGCCTTCACCCAGCCTCCGGTACACTCCGTAGTTGCCTGGTTTGCTCCACACCACTGTTGCTGCAATCATCCAGACTTTCCTTCTTTTCATGGAAAGAAGCCCCTGCACCGTATAGTGAAGATTCTCTTTGACATCTTCATATAAACGAATAATGTGGAGGTAAAGATGATTTTGTTTCAAAAACATTCAGAAGTTTTATTGCCGCTCAGCACTAAGTGCTGTGACACCGATCAACCAGCAGAGGGCGGTGGTGTTGGTTCCTTCGGCGCGGTTTCAGGTCACTGACAACACAAACATCGCTTTGTACTTTGTGTCTTCTGTTGTGTAATAGAGAAACAGGACAGAAGTTACCAGGCAGGAAAATGTTTTGACGAGTAACGCAGTTCCTGATCACATTATCTTTCTGCTGCATCATCACTAACGAATGTCAGCGGTGTAAAGATCCAGACCCATCCAACACTTTTTAAAATAATTTTTCCAAAAACATTTAGTGAATGGATCAAGTTTCTCTACGAGCAAAATGTAAGCACACAAGTCATTTCAGAATGTGGGAATAGGAGACACTAAAATGTGTATTAACTGCAGTTCTACAGGAAGTATTTCTGAGCCGTCACAATACAGGATCATTTTTATTTTAATAAAAAGTCGTCCTTGAGCTGCAGCCAGTGACTTTGCCTAAACAACAGGAATGGCCGTCTCTTAGGATGAAATCCGACTGTTTACTAATTATAAAAGCATGTACAAAGCTAAACTTGCCAACGCGTTTTGGACAAATCAATCCTTAGCTATGATTAGGGACTGATCTGTCTGAAAGGAGTTGGAGATTTTAGTTATGTAAATGCGTTTATTATAAGTATACAGTTGGATTTCATCCTGAGTGCCGCCCGTTCCTGTTCTTCATTTAACTGGACTGATCTGTCCGAAACGCGTTGGTGATTTTAACTTTGTACATGCCTTTATAATAAGTATACAGTTGGATTTCATCCTGAGTGCCGGCCGTTCCTGTTCTTCATGTATCCTTGGGAGTTTCGGCAGCTTTTGGGTCTGAGTACCGGGCGGAGCAGCTATTGAGGGAGGTGGTAGCGTCCTCGCACCTATTTTTCATTGACTTTACCTAGGCTAAGATGATGTCAGTCTGAAGCAAAACAATGGATCTGAAATAAAAGTTTCAGGTAAAACTGGAATCCAATGGTTCAATGGTGCCAATGGTGATGAAGGTCATATAGAGGAGCAAGTGTGGAAACCAACGCGTTTCGGCCCAACACTGCCCCCTTCATCTGTAAAGAGGAGAAGTTGGAGATTTAGAACTAAAAATAAAATTGGAATTACTCCTCAATCCCCCGCGTTCCCTCTTTACAGAAACCAAGGACTGGACCTCACAAGCAGCAGCCCTTCCAATGAATAGTGATCCACAATAGATCGCTGTTTAAAGGGTGTTGCCAGGCATTGAAGAGATAATGCATCTCCTCCTCGCTGCCTGTTTGAACCCTAAAATGGCTGAACCATGATGAAGCGAAGGCGCGGCACCATACACGTAAATGGGTCATGTTCAAAGGCAGTACCTTTGTGGGTTTTTTTACCACAGTCATAAAGCAAAGCATCGTGGTCATGGCTTGTGTACAGCCCTGAGCTGCTGCAGGCTCTTCTTTAGGTGGACAGTCAGAGGGGTGGTAAAACTGCAGCTTAATCACCTAGTTTTACATGGGAGGCCAGGCCAGGCCACCCTGTGCACAAGCCCTAACACTGAACTCTCAACTTATATATATAAGTCTATATACATTGTCTCCATCTGCAAGCCCTGATAAAGGGGGTGATGCAGGGCCGAAATGTGTTGGCTTTCTCATATGATTTTCTATTGGACCATAAATTGGAATAAAACTGTATCTGGACTCTTAGCTTGTGGCGTGGCTGTTCTATCTCAGATCCATTGATTTACAGGACAAACCGAGAAACGTGTGGGAATCCTCCAGTGTGTGGAAGCTGCCAACCCAGTAAGCAGATTACCCCTACAAACGCCCCTGTAATACTCCTGGATAGCGACCTCATAGGATCCAGCGCTATCAATCCATTGGCCCAAGTATCGGTCTGCTGCAGGCAGCAGGAAGCATTTGCTCAGTCTCCTCTCCTCCAGTGATCAGACTATATTATTATGTCAGGTACTTATATAGCAACGTCAATGTACACAGCGCTTTACATACATATTGTACATTCCCATCAGTCCCCAACCCTCAAGGGTCGTACAATCTAAGGTCCCTAACCCTCAAGGGGCGTACAATCTAAGGTTCCCAACCCTCAACGGGCGTACAATTTAAGGTCCCCAACCCTCAAGGGGCGTACAATCTAAGGTCCCAACCCTCAACGGGCGTACAATTTAAGGTCCCCAACCCTCAAGGGGCGTACAATCTAAGGTCCCCAACCCTCAACGGGCGTACAATTTAAGGTCCCCAACCCTCAAGGGGCGTACAATCTAAGGTTCCCAACCCTCAACGGGCGTACAATTTAAGGTCCCCAACCCTCAAGGGGCGTACAATCTAAGGTCCCCAACCCTCAAGGGGCGTACAATCTAAGGTCCCCAACCCTCAACGGGCGTACAATCTAAGGACCCCAACCCTCAAGGGGCGTACAATCTAAGGTCCCTAACTCACATTCATACATACACATACTAGGGACAATTTAGACAGGAGCCAATTCACCTACCAGCATGTCTTTGGAGTGTGGGAGGAAACTGGAGTACTCGGAGGAAACCCACGCAGGCACAGGGAGAACATGCAAACTCCAGGCAGGTGGTGCCATGGTTGGGATTCGAACCGACGACCCTAGTACTGCCAGGCAGAAGTGCTAACCATTTAGCCACTGTGCTGCCCATACATTGTAACTTTGTAGCCACCGGCTACAAAGCCACAAAGGTGAGAGATCGCACCAGGGGCTGATCTGTGTCAGACATTTGTGAACACAGCTAGGGTCTGCACAGACGCACGAATCGAATTGACATAACCGACCAGCACCTCAGTCCAAGAAGCAGATGTTGACCCTGAAATGATACCTGAACAAAGATGGTGCCATCTATTGCTAGGGCAATGGTGGACATTGAAGATCTAAAGCAGGGAAAGTGTAATGCACTTTATTAGATCCCCCAACACCTTTATCTACGGATCTGCATTTCTTCGACTGTAGCGACTTTTTTTTCTCATGCTGTATATGGTACTACAAGTCCCAGCAGAGGGCAACAAGTGCATTTCCCTTTAAGCGTTCTCTTTTCTTAATTTACGCCGAGGGAGCTATTTAAAGGAGACGTCCACGCCAATCCTTGGGAAGGGGACAAAAGGCGAGCGCGCTCAGAAGGAAGCCTGACATCGAACATGTCTTCACATCTATTTGCTTCGTCGCCTTGGCAACGTAAGCAAATAATCGCCGCTGCCTGCAGACGCTCGAGGACACGCAGGCAAACATGGGCCGCCTTATCCGGCTCGGGTCTGTATTCTTCCCCCAATTATCACTGTGAAAGGTTATAGACATGCTAAACAGGCCCTACAAGGCCGGGGACAGCTGCAGACGCCCCTTCCGCCCCCCCCCCTCCTCCCCCCCCGGACTTTGATTCGCCATGGCCGCCAAGAGAACGCAAACTTTGATGTTGAGCGAGTCATGTTTGCTGAACGCAGACGGGGCCCTTTCATCCCTGTGGGGCCCAGGGCCCGGCTACAATACCTCGGGGGGGGGGGGGGGGTTATACAAACTAACAAACTGAAACTATTTTTATTTTGTTCCAGTTTTGGATTTTACTGCAAATAAAAAATAAAACATTTTGCATGCAGCGAAAGGGACCACGGACCGAAAAAAAAAGTGACTTTGCGTGAAAGATCGATTACGCCCCGGTCACACCCATCCCACTTTGAAATCGTGCGACTTCCAGTGAAGTTGCACAATTTCAAAGTCGGGTGTCATCCAGACTTGCAAGACATCCGCAGCTTGCAAGACACAGATACCTATACAAGTCGCACCTGACCCCGGTTTACATCTGTGCGGCCGGTGCGGGCTGCGGGCTGCGATTTGCGCGCACACGAGAGCCCATTCATTTGAATGGACACCCATGTCCCGGGATACAAAGGGAAGAAGTCCCTGCACTACTAGGCAAATCGCAGCACAAGCGGAAACCGAGGTTCCAAGTACGGTTGCCTGCGGGTCTTGCATTCCCCTGTGTGGGTGGTGCAGCTGCAGGTATTTGTGCGGGTCCCCCCCCATTCCTCTGTGCGGGATGTGCGGCTTCAGGTATCTGTGCGCGTCCCGTATTCCTCTGTGCGGGTGGTGGTGCGGTCCCGCATTCCTCTGTGTGGGTGGTGCGGCTGCAGGTATTTGTGCGGGTCCCGCATTCCTCTGTGTGGGTGGTGCGGCTGCAGGTATTTGTGCGGGTCCCGCATTCCTCTGTGCGGGTGGTGCGGCTGCAGGTATTTGTATGGGTCCCTCATTCCTCTGTGCGGGATGTGCGGCTGCAGGTATCTGTGCGGGTCCTGCGTTCCTCTGTGTGGGTGTGTGTGGCTGCAGGTACATGTGCGGGTCTCTCATTCCTCTGTGCGGATGGTGCAGGTACATGTGCGGGTCCCGCGTTCCTCTGTGCGGGTGGTGCGGCTGCAGGTATCTGTGTGGGTCCTGCGTTCCTCTGTGCGGGTGGTGCGGCTGCAGGTATCTGTGCGGGTCCGCATTCCTCTGTACGGGTGGTGCGGCTGCAGGTATATGTGCGGGTCCCGCATTCCTCTGTGCGGGTGGTGCTGCTGCAAGTACATGTGCGGGTCCATCATTCCTCTGTGCGGGTGGTGCGGCTGCAGGTACATCATTCCTCTGTGCGGGTGGTGCGGCTGCAGGTACATGTGCGGGTCCATCATTCCTCTGTGTGTGGGTGGTGCGGCTGCAGGTACATGTGCGGGTCCATCAACATGTGCTCTGTGTGGGTGGTGCAGCTGCAGGTATTTGTTCAGGTCCTGGAGTCTATTGTTGCTGGAGGGGGTCTGCTGTTGCTGGAGGGGGTCTGTTCTTGCTGGAGGGGGTCTGATGTTGCTGGAAGGGGTCTGATGTTGCTGGAGCGTGTCTGTTGTTGCTGGAGGGGGGGGTCTGATGTTGCTGGAGGGGGGGTGCTCTGCTGTTGCTGGAGGGGGGTCTGCTGTTGCTGGAGGGGGTCTGGAGGGGGCTGTTGCTGGAGGGGGTCTGCTGTTGCTGGAGGGGGTCTGCTGTTGCTGGAGGGGGTCTGCTGTTGCTGGAGGGGGTCTGTTTGTTGCTGCTGGAGGGGGGGGTGCTTGTCTTGTTGCTGGAGGGGGTCTATTCTTGCTGGAGGGGGCTTGCTAGCTGCAAAGGATCTTGCTTGAAGGTGGGTAGGGGGCGGAGACAAGTGGTTACTCGGATGGGGGGGGGGGGGATACCTCCCCCTACTCTTTGAGAATAAAAGCCCTGGACAATACAGGCGACATTTAGGAATGAATATAAATAAGTTGCTCATATCAGAAGAAGCCGATGACTTTTTTACACACAGAAAAGCCTCCTCTGTGCGCCTCTCTGATTCTAGTTTCACTTTCTTGACGTTAAGCCCCTCCCACCCAATTTTTTCCTGTCCAATGAGATCGAGTCTTAGGGGTTAGGTTTCCCAATCACAAGTAACATTTGATTTATTCAGTGACAACCTGTTAGTAAATAGGGCGTTCTAAAGGCGATGGGGGGAGGGGAGGGAAGCGCATTGTCCGGATTGGCCGCACTTCTGTTCATTAAGCCGGAGCTCCGGAAAGTCTCCGATTGTTCATTAGGGATTTACAGGTTTAAATGTAAAGTAAGTGATCCCGGGGAACAATGGGCGGCGGGCGCTTCCTTCTCAGGATCTACAATGGCATCCCAGCCCTTCCCCCATAATGAGCCCGCAAAAAACAAATGGGGGGGGTTTGTAGGACTAAAGAGGACCTGTTGTTTATGTAATGTAAGAGCCGCACTTCTCCATTCATCCCAACAGATATCCCCCAAGGCCCGCACAATGTGAGCAGCCTGGCACTTGACCTGGTGATACAAGGACTGCTTCTCTGCATCTCCCCTGAACGGCGGACAGAACGGCGCCCAATAATCCCCAACCCCAGGCCAACTGGTCGGTCCACGGCAGGCTGTCTTCACATGCAGACCACCCGGGGTAACATGGACGTGTGATGATTGACAGCAGCGCCATGGCACCCCAATGCATCCTCCTAACGCATGCGAAAACGTGTCCGAAAATGCACGGTAACAAAAACGCCATGCGTCTAGGTGCGGGGAGATTCAAAAACAGAGTCATGCTTATCTTTGTGCAATTGTTGTGCATAGGACCCCAATGGGGATCCCAGTGTAAGGGAGGGCTCTGATGGGGACCCCAAAGTAAAAGGGGACTATGATGGGGACCCCAAACATGGGGCTCTGAAGGGGACCTTGAAGTAAGGGAGGGCTCTGATGGGGACCCTGAAGGAAGGGGGGCTCTGATGGGGACCCCGAAGGAAGGGGGGCTCTGATGGGGACCACGAAGATAGGGGGGCTTTGATGGGACCCCGAAGATAGGGGGGCTCTGATGGGGAACCTGAAGGGGGGTTCTGATGGGGAACCTGAAGGGGGGCTCTGATGGGACAACAAAAAAGGGGGGACTCAGATGGGGGCCCCGATGAAAGGGGGGACTCAGATGGGGGCCCCGATGAAAGGGGGGACTCAGATGGGGGCCCCGATGAAAGGGGGGACTCAGATGGGGGCCCCGATGAAAGGGGGGACTCAGATGGGGGCCCCGATGAAAGGGGGGACTCAATGGGGGCCCCGATGGGGGACTCAGATGGGGGCCCCGATGAAAGGGGGGACTCAGATGGGTGCCCCGATGAAAGGGGAGGCTCAGATGGGGACCCCGATGTAAGGGGGACTCAGATGGGGACCCCGATGTAAGGTGGAACTTAGATGGGGACCCCAATGAAAGGGAGGACTCAGATGGGGGCCCCGATGAAAGAGGACTCTAGATGGGGACCCCGATGTAAGGGAGGACTCAGATGGAGACTCTGATGTAAGGGAGACTCAGATGGGGACCCCAATGTAGGGGGATTCAGATGTAAGGGGGACTCAGATGGGGACCCTAATGTAGGGGGATTCAGATGTAAGGGGGACTCAGATGGGGACCCCAATCTAGGGGGACTCAGATAGGGTCCCCGATATAAGAGGGGAGAACCAGGCGCATTTATGTGTGATTTTTGCACATAGGATAGCCCATTAAAATAAACTGGCTGTCCTCAACACGCAAATTTGCGTGCAGCGTCATACGTGTCTAGCTATTCATTTGGATGGGTCGCCCTACGAGTGAGAAACACAGGAATCGCATGGCGCTGCGGCCCCGTGCTCACTCGTAGATGGATAGATGGATGGGGGTGCCAATGACAATTCCGCAGCACGTTTCTGTGTGTCGACAAAGCATGCAATACACGGGTTAGGGCTCCTCCACACCAGCAGTCACACATCAAAGCGTCCATAACAAGCGAGCCCCGGTGCGCACGTGCGCTGCAATGTCTTGTTACAACGTATCGCAGCGCTGGTCTATTTTTACAACATTTTTTTTTTTTGGTACCTTTACAAAAACATTTTTTTTTGGTACCTTTCTTGCAATTTCTCATTTTACTCTCTATGTAGCTGTAAGCGTCACTGTGTTATATTGCGTCAGAACAGATCCCATTTTTTCCAGCGCACTGCGTCGAAGTACAACTGCTTTGTCTATGCGCTGGGACTGCATGGGGCAACATGCGGTCTGTTGTGACTGAGCCCCTAATCCTGCAGACACAACAGACACGGCGATACGGGAACACGGCCGAAGATTTCTCGCGCTCCGCCGTCTCCCCGTCGCACGGATAAACAAGCAGATTACTCAGCTCTGGGCTGGGTGTAGCTGCGTGTCAGGACAATGGTGCAAGTTCATCGCCATGGCAACGGACGACTCTCCCTCTGTCACTACGACACCCACAGCACAACACAGCGCTGCAGATATAAGGGGCCCCACCCCGGTCCCGGAGATGTGCTCACAAGTTAACCTACTTCTCTAAAACTGAAAGTAATGTTCTGGATGGCGCCGCGCCAGGAACACGCCGCGGAAATAACGAACTCCAACGGCTGGGAATTCCGCTGCAGCTCGGGAACATGGAGTGCGCTCAGAGAGCGGAATTTCCGGGAACAGAGGAGAACAAGCCCCCGGACTTTGCAAATGTCAAGAGATAAACTCACACCCAGTACTCACAAGGGGGGGGAGCTGGTCAATGATCGGCACCACCAAAATCACTACAGCCTGATTTTATAACCAGTTTTCAATAAATGCTCAGACCAGGCGCGGACTGACAACTCATGGGGCCCCCGGGCAATAGGGGATCATGGGGCCCCTGTGTCCTTGCCCAAACTCAAAAAAGCCTATGAAAAAGGTACCAGGGGCATCTCATGGGGCCCCCTACTGACTCCGGGCCCTCGGGCACTGCCCGAGTTTCCAAATGGTCAGTCCGCCTCTGGCTCAGACTTCAGAGATCAGCCCTTGCTGCAACCTTGTGACTTGCTACAAAGTTACAATGTACAGTCTGATCACTGATGGAGGGGAGACTGAGGAAATGCTTCCTTCTGCCTGCAGCAGACTGATGGCATCATCTCAGCCTAGGCAGAGTCATAGAACTGGAGCTCAAATACGACTTTTTATTATAAAAGGTGGAGATTTTCTGACCAATGATCATGTTGCGGTATATTATGACAGGTCAGGAATTTTTGTGAAGATGATGTAACAGGAAATATAAAACGGAATCCACCAACAATGGTAACCATGAAACGAGGAGTGTTTGTGGGTGCAGGCACAGGGAACACTCCGGGGACACACAGACTGCAGTGCCTACCACTGGCAGAGCTGTCACTACCAAAGCCCTGAGGAAGAGGAGCCCCAATCCCACGAAACCTGTTGGTTGTTTTTTATGTCATACACTAAGGCTGGCCATAGAAGGTTCTATCTGGCCCATAGATAGTGTCAGTGGTGTATCCTCAATGTGGGCCCGCTATGCTCTCATACAGGTCAGCAGGGGGCCACTCCCAAACATAGCCACAGTCTCCAGTGCAGGTGCCAGGTTGCTGGACTGCTGGCACCCCAACAAACAATCACATGCTTATCCCAACACTGACAAAGGGACTGCGCCACCTCCTAGTAAGGATGGATGCTGATGGGTACCCTGGAAGTAAAGGGAGACACCTGAAAGTAAAGGGAGACCCCTTATGGGGACCCTGAAGTAAAGGGAGACCCTGATGGGGACCCTGAAGTAAAGGGAGACCCTGAAAGTAAAGGGAGACCCTGATGGGGACCCTGAAAGTAAAGAGAGACCCCTGATGGGGACCCTGAAGTAAAGGGAGACCCTGATGGGGACCCTGAAGTAAAGGGAGACCCTGAAAGTAAAGGGAGACCCCTGATGGGGACCCTGAAGTAAAGGGAGACCCTGATGGGGATCTTGAAGTAAAGGGAGACCCTGAAAGTAAAGGGAGGCTCCTGATGGGGATCCTGAAAGTAAAGGGAGACCCCTGATGGGGATACTGAAAGTAAAGGGAGACCCCTGATGGGGATCCTGAAAGTGAAGGGAGACCCTTGATGGGGATCCTGAAAGTAAAGGGAGACCCCTGATGGGGACCCTGAAGTAAAGGGAGACCCTGATGGGGATCCTTGAAGTAAAGGGAGACCCTGAAAGTAAAGGGAGGCTCCTGATGGGGATCCTGAAAGTAAAGGGAGACCCCTGATGGGGATACTGAAAGTAAAGGGAGACCCCTGATGGGGATCCTGAAAGTGAAGGGAGACCCTTGATGGGGATCCTGAAAGTAAAGGGAGACCCCTGATGGGGATCCTGAAAGTAAAGGGAGATCCTGAAAGTAAAGGGAGACCCCTGAAAGTAAAGGGAGACCCCTGATGGGGATCCTGAAGTAAAGGGAGACCCCGATGGGGA